AGTCATGTCAAATGTTTTGAGAGGAATTTGTTTGTTTGTTTTGAATTTCGCGCAAAACTACTCGAAGACTACCTGCGCCACCTGTCCCTAATTTGAAGTGATAGACTCAAGGAAATGCAGCTAATCAACATCACCCAACGCTAATTTGTGGGCTACTCTAATCGAACAGTGGGATTTAACAGTCAATCGTATATCACACCCATGGACCCAAGGTGCGGAGCTCGAATTTGTCTTTTCGGAAGTAACAGAGTGCGAATCAGGGAGTCTCAGATTGAAAGTCCGACGACGTAGTAAGTACGAATCGATACAGTTATTACGTTTCTTTAGGCTTAAATATGTTTACAAAATACAGCTAAGCCTAAGCTATAAGTCAAAACTTAGGCCATAAGAAAAATACTTTGTGACGTTTTTAGTAATTATTATTTGCTCTTTTACAACTTTCATATTACTTTAATTTAATATTAATATTAGAAATATCTCACTAGTCCGACGACAGCAGTAACTACGAGTCGATACAGTTATTACGTTTCTTTAGGCTTAAATATGTTTACAAAATACAGCTAAGCCTAAGCTATAAGTCAAAACTTAGGCCATAAGAAAAATACTTTGTGACGTTTTTAGTAATTATTATTTGTTGTTTTACAACTTTCATATTACTTTAATTTAATGTTAATTTTAGAAATATCTCAGTAGTCTTGGAGAAACATTTACGGTATCTTAAAAAGTAATTGTTTAGGCTTCTTATGGTATGTATGTATATATAGGATACAATTAAATGTTTAATTTTGTGACTAAATATTCAGAGTAAAGATTAAACTTGTTTGTTAAACAGGTACAATTAAAACAAAAACTATGATATTTTCCAAATTATCGAAGGTTTGTCCTTTCACCATAAAAAAATCGAACCCTGTATTTTAGCGTAGAAAATCCTTAAAGTAACCCTTTTGTTATTCACGGTAACAACATTTAATTGTTTATATCTGTGGGGAATACTTATTAAAGTAACAATATGTCTAGAATTAAAGCCAATTTTACGGGTATTTTTTTTTTGGTAAATCACCTGTACAAAACTGCAGGCCCAGCATGGGCAGGTGGTTAAGGCGCTCGACTCGCAATCTGAGGGTCGCGGGTTCGAATCCCCGTCACACCAAACATGCTCGCCCTTTCAGCCGTGGGGGCGTTATAATGTGACGGTCAATCCCACTATTCGTTGGTAAAAGAATA